CTTGTTTGTTTATTTAAAGTCCAACTGTCTCTGTCCTACTGGAGTAAAGGCTTTTTGAAGGTAGAGACTGTGGCTATCTTTGTTTTTTTTTTCTGAAAATAGAGTCTGGGACATGGAGACATCCAATAAGTACTATGACTCTTCAWGTCTGGCCCAGATCCATTTTCTCTGCAGAACTGCCCCTTTGCCATTGGTCTTTACTGTTRAGCTTGGATTTAGATCTCTCCCTACTCAGTGTCCCTCATCCTCCAAAGCCCCCCAAAGAATGGCCTCTCTCAGTAGCAATGTGACCATTACACTTCTACACTTCTTCATTCACTCCTTTACCCAAATCTCACTCCAATTTCAATGAATTTGGAAAAGATTTAAATAACCTAATATTAATCCCAACTAAGAAACTGAAGTGGAGGGAGGGTGGAACCACTAACCCATAGCAGCAGTTACCTCTATCTCATAACTACTTTCCAAGAGGCACAATACTGATCACCTTGATCTTTTAATCCTGTAAACTCTGTATTATTATGTCTATTTTCAACAAAAGAAGACAAAATATCTTGTCTAAGACCACATAACTGGCAAGCCAAAGAATCATGATTTAAAGCCAAATTGGTCTGACTCCAAAGTTTCCAGGATTAGTTCCACTTATATGTCAGAATAGTTGCACTTACATATTATAAGTGATGTTATCCCAAAGAATATTTAGGGTTTCATATATAATACAGAGAGGTCCAGGAGGCAGAATACACAGAGAATATTTCCTGTCTTCCTAGTGGATGTTTTTCCCACCTGTGCTTCCACAAGCAACTTTTAGTCCCTTTTCTTGAAAACCCTGGCCTTTATCCAGATGYACCTCAGGGTCAGTTTTCTCAAGGAGAAAACCTCTTTGAAAATATACCTTGCTTTTCCAAATCTTGGAGTCTAAATTTTAGGTAAGAATTAACCTTTATCCCTATTACCACTAACAGACACTCCAACAAGCCAAGAAAAGGGGAAAAAACATATGAATTCTTTACTATATTTATTAAAGTTAAAATTGACATCATTTTGGGAACCATGAATTTGGTACCCAAGTTAGTGTCTTGAAATCTTGGGTAACATGAAAATTCATGCAGCCTTCACTTAAAGAAGCCATGGTGTATAAAAAACGTATTCAATCTGATTCTGAAATGAATGTTCAAGGTTTTATGCGAGCATTGCTGATCTCAGGGTGAAGAGCTCCTTCAATGCCAAGCCCTCCCCTGGTACAGAGTTTGGCTCTGCAGATTCACTAAACAAGTATGCAAAAGGCTATGACAGTMTAAGGACCAAATGTGAGCCCCAAGAGGTCATCGAAGGTCTTCAAACTGCACCAAATTAAAGCACAGCAATCCATCACTTTTTCAAACTATGAATTTTCCCAAGTGAAGAAAGTGACTAGAACATACTGAAGTCCAGTGTGAATGACCTAATGCTGGTACCTTCTTTTCCTCATTTCTAGTCAAATAGGATCATTGTAAAGATGTGATTTAAAAATCAGTTCATTGTTATTTTTTTTCTCACATTTCTGCAACTTAGAGAGTGGTATAAAGATGTGAGCCACTGTCTTCGGCTCTAAATAAAGCCTGAGAACCCTTTTGAATAGTTCTAACAATCCTGTCATTTGGCCCTGAAGCCAATCTCAAATATGTCCAGAATCTTTATGAGGAAAGCAGTGTTGGTTTTAATCTCTATCAGAATGGATTAGACTTATTCTCTGGCTGCAAGAGCCCAGCCATTTTTCACAGTCTGATTGACCAAAGGCACTTTGGCAGCAAATTTTATTTGATGCTCCAGAGCAGTTGCTCATCATGTCTTCTAAAGAACATCACAACTTTATGGAACTACCTGGGAATTGGGACCAAAAAAGGAAACTGTTGGGTCCAGTAATATTTCATGTTTCAGGAGGAGATGTCATGCAGTGGTGCTAAAAGCCAAGGTGTTGATTATTTTATACCACGTGGAGAAGGCTGTCTGGCTGCTCATAAGCTATTCCTTCTAGAACTAGATGTAGAGGTTCCATTTATAAGATAGCTCAGAAAGCTTACAGGGGAAGAATCATACAGGTCATCAAACTCCACCTACTTTCGTTTTTCAGATGGAAGAACAAAAGCCCACAGAGGTGTTACTCAACTAGAAAATATCAAAGGCACTAGAGAAATTGTGTCCCCAGTTGGTTGCTCCTGTTACCACATGATGCTATGACCACTGGGGGGAAAATGATTACTTTCTATAGAGAAGATGTAGAGTTGAAAACATCAAAAGCAAAGCATCTATTTAGATTCTTTGAATTGGAGATAGAGAACACAGTACTGTGTCATCACAATTATCCTCTGAAAGCTGGGCAGCCTACATACCTCTAAGTCATCCTCATGGTTCCCACTTGATGGTACATTCAGTAGAACCTAAGATATCTATAAACTTCCAACTGATCAACACCAAGCATCTTACCCATAACCAYAAGAAACACTCATTTCTCTTTAGGGTTCCACTTCCTTCTAATTCCATACATCACTTTTTTTTTGTTTACTTGTTTTTGCTTTCCCTTTATGCTTCTCTCTAACTTAGCTCTAACCAGAGCAGTGCTCATTGCATTACAGTTACAGAAATGCTTAAGTCCATAGGTAGAACCAGTAAAAATAAGATCTCTACACCTACATTTCTTTAAAGTGAAATATAGATTTTAATTGCTTTTCAAGTTAATATAAACATGATAAATGAATATATACACACACATATATGTATATACATATAACTAATCTAATATATATATATATATATATATATATATATATATATTTATAAAATGGCAGATACTTTTAAATAACAGTATCCATGCATGTGTATCCCTCTGTATCTATGAGTTATGGATTCAACAATAATAGATGGAAAATATTGTGTCTGTTCTGAACATCTATTTCTTATTGTTCTTTGCTAACCAATTCAATTTAATAACTATTTACATAGCATTTGCATGATATTAGGTATTATAAGTAATCTAGACATAATTTAAAGGATACAGAAGGATAAGCTGAGGATGTGGCTCACTGGTAGAGCATTTGCCTGGCATGCATGAAGCCCTGAGTTCATTTCCCAGTACTTCAAATTAAACAAAAAAATAAGAGGATGTATATAGGGTTTCTGAAAATAATGTGGCATTTTAAAATAATGAACTTCAGCATCTGCAGATTTGGGGTAAATATATATAGGGTCCTAGAACAATCTCCTGTAGAGAATGAGGAGCAACTCTGTGTGTGTGTACATGTGTGTGCRTGTGTGTGTGTGTGTACATGTGTGTGAGTGTGTGAGTGTGTGTGTGACAATTTATATATAGAATGCTTTTAAATTAACATATGAGCCTTAACAATTTGAATTGCTCATTTCCTTATAAATTTATTTAAAAACCTAAATCATCATCTTTTGCAGAAGACAATATAGAGGATGACATGGAGCTTCCACTTGAATATTTTCCAACTTAGTACATTATATAGGCTAGTCTTTAGGATGTGCGCCAGGATTCCTGGAGGATCCAGAATCAGGCTAATACTTATAAATTGTTGGGGAGCCTCCATGAAACTCAGACAACTGTTTTAGAACCTGCATCCTGCACTTGTTTGTGAATATTCAATAGCTAAAATGCACAGCAACATGAGTTGGACTTCAGCTRTAAAGTAAATATAATTTTTAGTGCACCTGAGCGTTGTGCACATTATAAGTCAGAGAAAAAGTATCTAGGTTGAAGTCCTTAAGGTAGGAACAGTTGTATGCTTATTGCTGAAGTGAGAGACCTGGACTTTACTAAGCAAAAGGTATGAATCAGTCTCATAGTAGGCAAAGCAATTCAAATGGCTTGAGACTAGTCCAAGAAGACTCACCCCATGTTAGCTCTTTAAAGCTTTTTTTTTTTTTTTTTTTTTTTTCCTAGCAGGCCAGTTTACTGCAGCAAAGTCTTAGTTTCAGACAATGGAAGAGCAACACTATTTATCTGCATCTCCTTCTCCTGTCACTGGTCTTTTAATCCTTTGACCATATTCCATTTTGCTTCACCTGGAATACACTCTGCCTGCAAATAAAGGTGRAGGAGGAACACAGAGGCAGAATTCCTCACTGGCACCTCTGCACTGAGGCCAAGGCAGACTAGGACAGTACAGATTCATGTGGTTTCTCTTCCTGAGGCATAGAAGCTGAGGAGAAAAATCRTGCTCATGATTCTGTATTCTTATTTCCCAGTAGAATGTGAAGGACTCAGTAGGGATATGGGAAAGGACCAGAGGGAGGGAAGAAGCAGCCAAGGAAGCATCAGGTGGCAGTTTGTTACGGGGATGCCAAGTCTTCTTTGATGCTGTTGGAGAGGCACTGCTGACAGTTTGGATACACTCACTCTCACTCTTCAAGCTCCAGAGAATAATTATCCATCCTTCCTCAGCAGCTTCAGGAGAACCCTCCCCCCAACACCTAAAGATGAAAAGTCCATCTCATTGGCACCTAGACTTCTGCTGATAGTAAAATATCTCCATCCCTTTCTCCTTCTTCCCACCCACCACCTACTTCTCACCTCTCTGAACCATATCCCCCCCCCCCCATGCCTAGCTTTTCCCTCTTCATCCTTTTCTGTTTGGGATTCCATCTCCATAGAGAGAGGACAATTAGAGGCCCTGATTTTAAAGAGGCCAGCCTGTCTTGCCTTACCACGGAGCCCTGTCTGTTGCCCTAACCTTTGGGCCCATGGGCCTAAATGACTACCCTCAGCTCCCCTATATATTTATTAAGCTCAGTCTTTCAGAGCAGGTTGTAGTGTTCAGGGCATCCTTTAAGTTTCCAATCCCTTCCAGTGAGCATCTTCCATTTCTGCGGACTTGGAAGGGAGGGGGTTGGACTTGGGGGAATGCTCACAGAGAAGCATGTTTGTGGATTTGCTTGTCAGAGATGAGTATGGTGTCCTGTGGGTACATGCTAATGGGTCTGTCTCTCTTTCCCCTACRCAGGGCCTGGAGCAGTCATTGATGGTGTAAACTCGGCCTCTAGAGCGCTGGCTTGTCTGTGGCTCTCAGGGACCCTCTTTGCCCACTTCTTCATCAAGTTTTGATAAGAAACCCTAGGTCCTCTGAGCAACGCCTGCTTCTCCATATCACAGACTWTAATCTACACTGCGGAGGGCAAACCAGTTTGGGCTTCTTTTTGTTCACTTGTTTCTGTTCTTCTTCTTGATATATTTTTGGTTTTTGTTTTTCCTTTTAATCGTGATTTTTTTTTTCCAGTTGGAATGAGTGGGGTTGGGGGGAGGGGTGGGCAGGGTTCTACCATGTGTAGGATAATCATTTATTGGTGTGTCCCAAAATGGAATCTGCTCCTGCAATCTTGGCCCTTCCTTTTTGTCTGCTTCTCTTCCCATAATCACTGCAAGCAAGCAACTTTCATGCACACATACATGCAGACACACACACACAAACACACACCCCAAAACATAAGTTTCAAGTGAGCAAAGAAAATGTGCCTCATAAACACCCTGAAGACACAACTTGATTAATAATTTGATACACAGTAAGAGTTATATCCATGTGTCTTGTTACTTCTGTCTCTTGAGCTTTGAATCATTTTCTTGATTATAATGTACATATCTTCCATCCAAATGATTGTCAAATCTCATTAGGGTCCATATCTTTTCTTTCTAGAGAGTTATCTCACTATATCCAAATATGTGTATTTGTGTAAGCCACACATATACACAAACAGACACACACGTACATATAAAATCTTGCCAACTTCTCTAATCACTTTGTCCTATTCATTTTTCCACTAGCTATGGGCTTTAGAAGCTAGGGGCTACGCATGCAACTAAAATTTAATCATTTAGAAGTCAAGTGACCAAAAGAAAAACAACAACAATTAAAAAATGGGGGAAGTATATTAAGGGGAGTACTTCTCTTTTACAACACATAAAAAATGATCAATAGATGGCTGTTTAGGTTTTATCAAGTGATCTATAAAAGTAATCATATGGTTATTCATCTACTCAATTGTCTGATTTATCTCTCCATCCAATTGTCTACCCACCTGTCTTTCTCTCTAGTGATCTATTTACTCTATTTATCAATCTATCAATGTAATTATCTAACACGTTTTTTTATTTCTCTCCCCACTACTATCAGTTCATCACCATATTAATCTCTAATCATATTGTGTCTATTATACTTCATTTTGTCTCTCCTCTACCATCAACAGACATTGGCATCTTCAAAATTTCCTATCAACTTATCATGTGAAAGCCAATGATCTCACAGGCTAACAACATAGAAAAGCTGTACCCTGTGTCATGGACTCTTTGGAATGTGGAAACCCATCCACCCAAATTAAACCCTGTTAACAGATGGACCAAAGTAGCAATGTAAACCAGTCACTCACTATTCCCAGGAGAGTCTATAGTTCCTAAAACATCTTCTTGGGAAACAGATCAGCTCTGGACAAACCTTGATTAGTACTGCATTTCCTCTTTCGTGCTCAAAGGATTGTACTACCAACTTTCATGCTTCTCTCAGCCTTTCCAGAAAGYGCATGTCAGGAACTTACAAGACCTTCTTCAAGGCAGATTTTCCTTAGGAGCAAGAACATGAAGGAAAACACACATCTCTGTCTGCAATATAAAGCCAGCAGTCCATTCTCCAAAGTGGACTACTTCTAAGTGTTTCCTTTCTGGTCCCAGTTCTGGTTTGATCTGTTTGAAAACTACCCAGTAAAAAGCTGATGGAGGCCAATTACATGGCGGGTGTGTTGACAACTCTRGTATTTGTTTCAGGAAGCTCTTCTGAGCTGAGGGCACTTGAGCAACTGACTTAATTTCCAAGCACTTGATTAACACAACACTGCAAACAGAAGGGGGAGAGTGTAAGTGACACAGTTTCCTCAGATACAGGCTGCTTCTCTAATGGCTTTGGGAAGGATGTCCCCAGCTTCCTGTGTTCAAACAGACCTAGCATATAAAGAAGAGTGGACTAGATCTTTCCACACTCTCCTGGAACAAGAAGGACTCGGCCAACAAGGGAGCCTGAGATTCAAAAAAAAAAAAAAAAAAACAAAAAACAAAACAAAACAAAACAAAAACACAGCATTGAAAACCACATGAGGGCATGAGAAAGAGGGGATGCTTTTCTATGCATCAACAATGACTTTCTTACAGACCTGCCCTGCCTCAGTTGGAAATCTTTTTCAGGCCTACATCATAGAGAATAAATATGAACTCTATAATAGAGTTCCATTCCCTTAGTGCTTAATTGATCTCTTCCTCCAATGTAAGTGCCCTCTTTGTGTTTTTCTGCTATGGCAACATGAATATGACACCCAGAGTGGGGAAATATATGTACAATTGAAGACTGCCTTGGCATATGGAAAGCTAGGCACTGTCACAAGAAGTAGAGCTAATGGGAACAAAATTAATATTGCATTTGCCAGTTGTCAACAGACATCTTTTTTTCCTAGTGTGCTACTAGGAACCAGGTTCTGGGAATATAAGTGATGTGMCGAAAAGAGCCTTTTGATTACAACTTCCAGAGACAATCATGAGCCGGCACAAACTCAGAATTAAGGTCGGGCATGGACATTTCATATCTATTCCCACACTCAGCATCTGGAGTTGGGTTGGTGTCAGACATTTTATGAGAAATAAATGTGTMATTTGAGTGTTCTACTGGTACTAAATTGTTACTTTGGAGTAAAATAAATGTGAAGGCTTTGGGGAGTGGATGGTGTTGGAGAACATGGTGCTTGGAATGGACAACCTGTATCTGTTCCTCACTCTAAGAACTGTTATGTTGCAAGGGGTCCATCCTCTGGCCAAGTAGATCATTGTATGCTTTCAAACCCAACAATACTGGGCTTAAGGTCACCATGGAACTCTGCTCTGTCTTGTTCCACTGGATATTAGGAAACATCTCTGATGGATACCTATTCCAGCCATGTTTCAGAGTGAAAAGTATGCTAAGTCCAATCCTCTTCTTTCTAAAATACAGAAAACCAAGAACATAAGACCCAAGGCAACTGGGATACTGGAAGTGAAATGACTTTTCGTAACAATGGACATATTCCAGCTTCTGTATTATTTGAATCACTTTGGTGGGAATGGCTCCATGGGATGAGAGCTGTTGCCCAATACCTTGAAGTATATAGTAAATGTTTACTAAAGATGGCATCCACACTTACACATGCTTTTTCAACATTACATATGGAGGGTGGGTGGATAAGGCCTGCTGGACAGATTTGTTCGGAGTGCCAATGGTGGGGGTAAAAAGGGGATAAGGGCAGGAAAAAGAAATATGTCTCTGGGCAATATATCATTTGTGGGTTTACCACATACAAAGGAAACCAAGTGCAGCTTATCAGATTAGGTGAGAAGAATTCAGCAACAGCAGTTATTTGAAACCCTTCCCTTTCCCCAAAGTTAATATGTACTACCACCAAAGTAATGCCAATGAAAGTGCTAGTGTTAAGGCTCCAGCCAAGCTGTTTTTTCAGTAGTTTAATGCCAAGTGCCTGATACAGTCATCTGCAAGTCTAAACAAGTGTATTTAGTTTTTTCTTATTCTTGTTTTATTGGGGAGGGTGAAGATGTAGGGGAGCAGTTGTCAAAACATGCACATATTTTTTATAGAGAGTACAGTGCACAGTATTTTAGCTGCAAGTGTGCTCAAAATGAACAAAAGAAGAGGGAAGACTCGGTGTTGCAAAGAAGAATGGGCCTCTGCCCTCTGAAGTTCACACCTCTTACTGGAGGATACTTTCCAAGTTAGGCTGTGAATTGGGAAGTGTACTCTGAGACTCTTGGAGCTCCATGATGGAGGCAAATTTCAGGGTCTGAGTCTGCATTAAACCTGTCAACTTGCCCTGAACAAGGAGATGGTAGCAAGTTCTATTTACAYTGAAGAACTATTACATCAAAAGAGCAGAGAATTCTAAAGTGGGCAGTTGATCCCAGGGAGAGCTTATTAGTAACATGACATCACAAGTGGATGGAAATCGAATATTTGTGGTGCCAATGGGCAAATTTTCTCTGTAGTTGTCACATGGCTGCCCCATCATAGAAAGAGGGAAGGGAGAGGCTTAAAAGGAAGGACCCCTGGTGAAGAGTTTCTTTCCCCAGTTGGACCCTGAGTTCTCACTGAGAAAGTAAAACTGGCTTTGCAATACCAGGACCAGCACTCCCCCAACACACCCTCACCACAAACAAAATTAACTCCCTTTAGAATTAGGGGAAGCAACAAAGTTTTTCTTTTGTGTAAAAYGCATTTTTTTCTCTAATGGCAAGAATGTCTTATATTTATTTTGCACAACCCCCATTCCTGGAAATTCTCATTCCCAATTGCTTCCCCTCCCATCAAGGCTTCTCTGTCTCTTTCTTTTAAGACAAATAAGTTTGAACAGTTGTGGTAAAAYTTCACAGGTGTGTAACTAGGAAGACAACATTTTGAAAGAGATGCCATATGATGAGGACTCCTAATGATCACTAAAAGCAAACAAATAAAAATGCCAGTCTCATTTCCCTCATTTCTTTCTTAAGAGAAGAGAAGTAAATGAAAGGAAGAAGAAATAGTTTTGCAATTAAAAGATGTAGCAAAATTATATAGGTGAACCAGTGCAATTTAGCCTTCAGGTGCAAAATACTTTGAGTCCAAAGGAATGTGAGGTGGACTTAATTAGATGCAATTGTCTTTATCCTGAAAGTTGTCAGCTAAACCTAATTTCCAGTATTTTGAAACAGATTCCTTTTACCCCCCCCCCAATGGTGCCCTTTTAAGGCACATAGTTATTTCACACCATTGGGTAGAGAAAGAAAGATTGTGGACCCTTTACCATCCTTGTGGGACTACATTCTATGTTATTTGGCAGATGTATAAGGATATCAATAATCACAATGATACGTAATAATAGCTGCCCTTGCATTAGTTAAAGGGAGAATTTTTRATCATTCAGAAAATTTTGTGACATGTAAAGTGCAGTTGTGAGGAATGTGTGGGTGTACGAAAATGTATCTGTCAAGTTCAGAGTCCTCTAGGTTTTAAAAAAATATATATATGACTTAACAATGGTGCCGTTATAGCCGTGTCCAACAATGGGTGTGCCCATTTTCACAATGATCCTTAAAACAAATCTATGTTCAAATGCTTTAAAAATTTATCACATGATAAAGGAGTATAACTTTGTCAGCCTTCTAGAGTTATTTTTCCTTTTATTTTCTTTCTTATATATTTTTCCTTCAAAATTCAATGAAGACTTGATTTCTGTCAATAATTGTATCAAGGGTGAATATACTACCTGAATTTTGTGCATGTTACATTGTAGTTGTAACCTTTTCTAATTCAGGATGAATATGAGATGGTTGTGATTGTGCAGTGTATCAATAAAGTTTGAAGAACTTTGTAACTTTTAGGGGGCTGTTTATTAGGATATCATTTGAGTTCCAGGAATGAAAAAACAGTGAAGAAGATTATGTTTCTCTCATGAGTGTGTTTTAGACTTTGAAGACCAAATGCAATCCAAAAATTGAGAATAATCTCCCCCATCTTCCTCCCCCTATCTCTTCCTCCCTTCCTGTCCTATTTCCTCTCTCTCTCTCTCTCTCTCTCTCTCTCTCTCTCTCT